GAGCAGACGAGCTTGCTGCGCGGGCCCATAACGACGGTGACCCTGCATTCCGCTTAAGGCTCGTTCACACAGACCCGTATTCTTACGTTACGTTACGAAAAGCCACCGGGAAATCTGTGCTTCGTATTAAGCGTGGCTACCAATTCAAGGAGATAGCCTGGCACGCGACATTAGAGACACGAATGTTTCGGTGACTTAGACGTAACCTAAAAAAAGGTGCTGTGTGAAAAGTTTAACCGAGCTCAACTCCTTACGCTACATTATGACGATCCTTGTGTTCTTGGTTGCCACGGTAACTCACCGTCCTAGCTCGTCGTTACCGAAATTTTTGTGTCTCGCATGTCGCGTGCCAGGCTATCTCCTTGAATTGGTAGCTACGCTTAATACGATGCACAGATTTCCCGGTGACTTTTCATAACGTAACGCAAGAAGACGGGTCTGTGTGAACGAGCCTTTAAATCGCTTTAATGAGGCACACCGACTTATACGGGATACCATGCGGGAAAAACGCCCTCACACAATTAATACACATTACAAGGGTAGCGACAGGAAGACTACCTCCAAGCATCCCACGCAAACTCCCACGCTCAGAGGACTCACTCCTTTACAGACTTCGAACCGGCTGCCCGCATACCGAAAATCGTCTCCGTATGTATCGCCGCTAGACAGATCCCGTATGCCCAACTTGTGGTTATCCTGAAGACACAACCCATGCACTACTTTTGTCTCCAACCCATCAGGATCTCCGCGAAGTGCTACTGCGATCCTACGCTGCAGTTGGACTTTACACACTCCACCGCCCAAGAGCTTTTGAACCCTAGTGGACTGCGGGGAATTGTTGAAAAGGCTTTTCGTGCTCTCCTACAATATTTCCGGGACAGTGAGTTCTCCGGTCGACTCGGATGTTCGCAGACACAAAACAAAAACTTAAACGACGAATCTAGGATAAGCATTCAACGTTTAACTTCACGCGTATGCGAGTCAATAGGTAGCACGGCAAGTTAGCAACATCCTAATCTAGTGCGGAGCCGAGATGGGAACCTCCGCGGCACATTGACGGACTTTGCCGGCTCAGATCGGCACTGCGATAACAGTGGATACTATCTTCCTGCTCGCTGTGGACTCATTTTCTCACAAGCTCAATTCTAAACAAGCCCGTTGGCATTTGGACAACAATGCATCGGATGTTCAAAGTTGTACATAATCGTTTCTTCTTCCTCTTTCTTTTATTTACCCTTCTCCTAAAAAGCCAGGTAGCGACTTGCCCCTGACTGGAGGCTCACATATTTCCTGCCCCCCCCCCCCCCCTTTTTTTCTTCACCCCAAAATAAACAAACAACAACAAACAGTCTTTAGGATTTGAGGCCAATATCGGCGCACTATTGTGTGCTGCCAGGGCTTTACATTTCCCCGTCTTCGTTCATCTTTTGCGAGCTGAAACGATTTTTTAAATCGAAGTTGAACTGTAGTAATTACGAAGGAACCTTTATAAGACACCTCCCTCGTTTAAGCTTCTTGCCTAGGTTACAACGCTCTTGTAAGACTAACACTGGAGTATGCTTCCGAGGTGTAGGATCTCTGGGAGGCCACGCTTTCTAATGAGCTTGAACAGGTTCAATCACCTGCGGTGCGTACAATATTTTCTGATTTCACGACTACGACGTCTGTAACGGTGCTAAAAAGCAGGCACACATGCAGCCCTTGAAAAAAAGGAGAATATGCTAACGGTTGAAATTATTTTCTTTTATTGGATTAATAGTCATCTTCTAAAAATCGAAAGCTCTAAACATGTAATACCCAAAAACCACCGTTCAGAGCGCTTGCATCACCGTATGTTATAGGTAGGGTTCGGAGTTTTCGGTTTAAACCGATAAAAACCCATAAAAGTACGCCGAATCCAGTTTCGAAAATTCGGTTTTAACCGAGAGTCAGTTGCTATAGGTTCGGCATTTTCAATTTAAACCGATAAAAACCAATAAGAGTACGTCGAATTCATTTTCTAAAATTGAGTTTTAACCAGAGAAGGTCACTTTGACCTTCCAGTCGTACCGCAGAGCCGTGGCGAAAAAGTGGAAGGACAGTGTCTATCGAAACGTGTCCGCATGTATGGGATACATGGACGCCATCACGACGTTTGGGTTTAATGTGCGTATCATCAATCGGAACGGTAAAATTCGAATTGCCCCACGACTTCGCCATGTACGAGCGTGTTTTCAAACTCGTTGTAAGGAAGACTGACTTGATGCGAGCTCTGCATGTTGTGTTGTACTTCAAAACGTCGCACCTTGTCTCTTTTGGCGGTCACAATTGGTTGATTGGCCGATTTTGGCTCAGGCAGCGCTTCATCTCCTCAGCCTGCCAGTGTCCAGTGTTAGCGTTCAGAGGGCATTTTCGAAGCTCAGTGTCATATTAACAGGAAAGAAAGATGGCGGGTCAACAAGGAGAACCTGGGAAAGTACATGTCTGTGTGTACTATAATAAGATCACGTAACCTGGATATAGATAAAATGAAGTTCCATGATTTTGGGCATAGGCTTCATATCTGACTTGTTTGTACTTCTCTGTTGCTTTTTCTTTTACAGTGGCACGCATTTTCCAAATACAGTGTCCCTTTCTTTTTCAATGTATCTGTGCCGTTAATATTTGAGTGATCATAAATATTAGAGGCACAAGGATAATCTGATCCGGTGTCCTTTGGTGTTTATTTTATATTCACCGAAAAAAGCCGATAAAGCTTTGTGGGCATAAATATACGCCGGAAAAGCCGAAATTTGAATTTTAAAATAAACACCGAAAAAAGTACGCCGAATTTTGAAAAAATAGAAACCGAAAACGCGGAACCCAGGTTATGGAGGACTTAAAAACTTCTATGCACGTTTTCGTCCGAAAAAAAAAAAAAAAACATCGCAGAAAACCTTTACGTTCATCATATCAAGGGTTATTCCAAGTGATAAGCGGAAGGACTAGCACATTTGCCATCCGTGTCAACAAAAAACAACGACACAGTTTCCACCCTTTCCGTCTCAGTTTGCCGACTGGCGTCGCCTGCGAAAGATCTTGCGGCATGTTGTGAATGTTTTTCCCCAAGCGCTTCAAAATCAGCTTTTGTTTTTGCAATGTAAAGAAAAAAATTCACGGCCGCACGCTCTTCTTTTAAATTAAACATTGCAACAACAAAAGAAAAAAAGAAAAACGAGGAATGATTTTGAAGCGCTTGGGAGAAAAATTCTCAACATGCCGATAGACCTATAGCAGACAAGCCGGTCGACAACCTCACTCGAAAAGGGCGCAGCTAATCGTTGCTGTAGCGGCAGAAGCTGGTACTACCGAACGGCCCGCCCTCCATAAATTCATTCCAATTGGTTTTGGCTCTCCCCTGGTGCAGCGCGCCAGGCCTGTACTCCTAAACGCCTCCCCCATAAATCAAATTCAGCGAGCAAGAAAAGTTCGCTGGGAGTATTCGTCGAATCCGGCTTAAATCCCTCATAATCTGTGGTGGCCCAGCCACACTAAAAGTTATCTGAACAGTTGAAATAAGTAGAAGTCGATGTCCTCGGCGCGCGTGATACCCACGAGCCTCGAGACGCAGAAAACACCAGGAACACCAACCGGTCGACTCCGCTTGGTAATTTATCCCTACACATGCGGTTCCATTACCTATGGGCTGTGTATGCTTTACGTTGCCTTGGCCTGTGTGTTACGTTCATCGTACTTGTGGGAAGATATTTCGACCTTTCTATAAGTAATGCCTGCGCGTCCATTCGCAATAATTTGCTCAAGAAGAGCCAATCATTCCGATTTTTGGAGGAGGCCCGGCGAATGTCGAGGCACCGGACGTAAAAATAATATCTGTCTAAATAGCATCTTTTTTTTTTTTTTTTCATTCCAACCGTTATTTCTGCTTTGCCATTCGCCGGCTCTTTTCGCAAGTGTAAATGACTGGTCTCCGTGGGTTCTGCGGAAAAGTAGACACACAGGTCTGTTCATGAAAAGGTAGACTTATTTTCTAATAAATACGGTATTCGTCACACACTAGCATTCATTTTGCATAAAATCCAGCCCATCAACAAAATCTGTTGTGAAATTTTAATATAGATCTCTACTATTGTACATGATCATGTTTTCATGATATGTTTCGTCGGTAGATGGCTTGCATTGTATTTGCTGTAGGTGGCGCGCATTTTGCTTGCGGTTTGTTGTGTCAAATCCTTGTCTGCCGTCCACTATAATATAATTTACTCGCGGGCACCGCGAGGGCTTCTGCAATAAACAAACAAATAAAAAATAATCTACTGATATTCCAGTAACGGGAATATCGTGGAATTCGTACTCACTATTATTCCAAGTACCAAAGCGAATTAAATTGCTCCTCACTGCCCTTATTTTGATCTTAAATCTGCGACTAGTTGAATTGTCTTACCCGTGCTCAGAAACGGATATGGAATACCTTAATAAACATAACAAACTTAAAAGTGCAGAACCACCGGCTTCTGTTTCTGAGAGCAAGCTTGAAATGTAACCTCGTAAAGGGTGTTTTTTTTTTCTCAATACGCCAATGCACCTCATAAATTATACCCTGCCATTAACTCTAAGTTTGATTTTTATTTATTTCCCCTCCCCCCCCCCTTATTTTTTCACAAAGGCACGGCGCTGGACAGCCTGGACAGCCGAATCTATACCAATCACCTACAAAGAATTCGTTCCCCACACCTCCTGCTGCCCAGACCAAGATAAGATGTCCTGGAATTGCTCCTGGGCTCCACCCCGAAATCAAAGACGTTTTTTTCTGGCTCCCCATTCCTTAGATCCTCCAAGCCTAAATAAAGGTAGCGGATCAAAATGAACCAACAAAGGCTTTTACTCTTTTTACTGCTCTTTGACGTTCTGTATATGTCATTCTCTCTCTCCCTCTTTCCCTTTTTCTCTCCCTCTTTCTTTCTTTTTATCTACCTTTCTCTTAACTTTATTATTTGTTTTTTAGCCCCGGCTCGGGTGATTACCTTAGATGCCATCTGCCGAAGGAAAGACCAGACGACCAAGTTGTTTACGATGGTTTCTGCTTGCAGCATCGTGGTGAGGACTGGATAGCGGCCTTCTTTAAACAACTCGTCGGCAACGGGCACCCTCTCGACGGTGCACAGCAGGATGCCGAAAAGCACGCTGTTTCTTACGTTCTTCGTTTCCAAGAAGCTGAAGGCGTACAGCGCCGACACCGCCGTGCTCATCCCCAGTGTGCCAACAGAGAAGACCATGGTCTCCTTGGCGCACCTGCGCAAATGGGATTTGGGTGAGTGGGCGTCGTTTCCTACCAAGGGTTGTATAAAATTACTCTGATAGGCTCTAAGTCGTGTACACCTAAGTTCTGTATGTCGACAGTGGCGCAGCTTCCACAGCGCTGTCAAAGCCACTTGCGTGAGCGCGTGATTTCGTTTGTCGCCTGCTTCTCGCGAAAGCGCCCGTGAACGAGACATAAGAAGTCACATGTTCATGCAGCAGTGCGTTGCTGTAGCACTATGTAGACTAGATGCGCAAGCCTTGACTAGGATGCACGAAACTTTTTATTACGTTTTATAAAACGTTGCCGAAACTCAACCTAAAAAGAAAAGCTAAGCTGAAAAATATTCTGGCCACTGCCATCCAGCATGTTGGTTAGTTTTGTACACACTCCTTTCGGATGACGAATTTAAAAGTTCGCATCGCTTGATAGTCTTTACGGCCCGCCGAGCTGGCACTCTTGGTCAAATATTTGTTACGTACTCCTGGGCACGTACAAAGAGCGAGTTCTCTCGGTATTGTTTTCGCGCCTTGACACTTCTTGATGTCGAAGGTACTAAGGGCAGTTTCCACCAACATAAAATACCCACTCGGAGCCCGTGGCTGAGGCGGCGGATTAAAGAAGGGGGGGAGGGGGGTCTACTTGGCGCCTTCGCTAGTTCCATGTCGCTCTAGGGGAAGCAAAGGCGCATCGTTAGTGCCCGCCGGTTCAGTCATCACGGCGCTATCGAGTTTCGCTACACTCAGAGCGATATGGAACTCTTCACAACGCATGCCCGACCCCGCCAGGCAATATCTCGGCCGCGCGATTCGAGTGAACTTTATGTTAGTAGGAACTGCACCTGCTCAGAACAATACAGTTCATTAGAGTCATGCAATATTGTGAGAATGCAAACATTCCTGTGGAAGCTGCGATCGCATGGTGACTTGCCTGCGGAGGATGATGTGGTTTATTCCCTGTGTGGCGTATACTGTGGCGGCGGGCACGAAGGTCATGAGAATGTGGAAATTGATGTTGTGGAACCAGGCCGACAGGGTGCCCTGGCGCTTCAAACCGACGTCGTTGAACGAGATGCCGAGCCCGACGATGAATATGAACACGGTGTACGGGAAACGGATGGAGCGTTGTACCTTCTTCATGCACACTGCGTCGGGAGCGGGGTAATCGTGAAGAAACTACACGGTCAGCAGGAATTTGACTGGTACCATGCAAGCACTGGGCATGGGGAAAATGCTATGCGGAGAGAAAGCGAGAGAGGACGAGATGACAGATCGCCTGGATGTCTGAGCGCGGAGCTCTTGTTGGAATGATTAGTGGGTATAGACCGACACGCGGGCTTGACGTCACGGAGCTGCGGCGGCGCTGCGATCGCGCCGAAGCCGGGTGGTGTGGGCAGAAGGGCGCACGTTTTGCATGGGCGTCATAGCATTTGAGCATGCCGCAAAGCTGCGTAGCTGTTAATTGCACCAAAGGTACAGCAAAAGTAACAGAGTGAGTTTCCACAAGTTCCCGGCGGACTCTGAAAGGCGCAGAAGTTGGACAATATCCGTGGATCGAAAAGAATTGGTCGCTTCGCAAGGACGACCGTTTGAGCGGCAAGCACTATCTTGAAGGCAAGCGTGGTTTGCATTTTAATCTCCGTCCCGAGGCTTGCTTATGTGCAGGAAAACCGTCGTCTGATCGAGACAACCCAGATTTTGTTTTCACGGTGTTCGCACACAAAGCGCCGGCCAAGCGCTCGTCGGTGGCTTGCGCTTCCCGTACTACCAAGCGGAAGGAGATCAGCGGCAGAAAGTGTTACCGTTTGTCGTGCCTTGTTGTCATGAGAGAAAGAAAGATGTACCTCTACTGAAGGATACTGTGTGTATTTAATCAAGTAATAAACACACTTTTGCAGACACATAGCCTGCTCCCATCTGCAGTGCGGAAACCGACTCCAAGTAATCGTAGGCCTCGAGAAACTTGTACGCCTGCGCCGTGTCTGCCGTGGCGAAAAAACTAAATAAACGAAGACACAGCCATCGACGTCGGTGGCAGCAACTTCCCGTCGGAACTCCAGCAGGCCTTGTTTACGGAGTACGGATCGGCGAAGGTAACGCCGTCAACGCACAGTTTGTCTCGATACCGCCGCCGTTGAGGCTTGGATAGCGAGCTTAAGTAGTCAGGTATAACATACGACATGCGTTGCCAGGAAATACGACGCAGAAAAAAAGCTAGAAGCGTCTCTACAACGTCAACAACGAGCGCACGGTGCACAATGCAATGGCGAAAACACGGAGAGCCTGGCCGCTTCTGCCCACGTGGCTTCAGCGCATGCGCGGCCTTCCGGTCGTGTTGGTAAACAGAGCCGCGCCGCGTGTCAGTCTATACGACGCGAAGGCTAGACGCCTTTGTCTCTGCCTCGTTTTGCTCTCCAATCTAGGCGAACAACTGCGTCGTCATCTACTCGCAGTGTTTCGCGTTTGAACGCCGGCTGCCGGCGCTCGGCGATCGAACCCGTTCGAGCAGTGAGTAGCGACAAAGGCTACTCACTTTTCATTGCACAGATTTGTGCGTAGACGCCTTTGCGTGTACCCACCAATCCTTCCAATCAGAGCTTGGCGCTCTGACGTCCCCTCTTGCTCTCATCTTCTTCTCTCTTTCAGTTTCCCTTCGGATACACTCGCAGAATAACCATTGTGTTAAAAAAGAATGTATCTCAAAATTCGGGAATGAAAAGTTTTCGAAGTTTCTTTTTACTCTACATCGATTTATTGGAACAATGCAAATTACGCTCTCGTGCAAAAAAAAAATGACCTCGCTGCTTAAAGCAAGTCGTATTTGAACACGACGAGCCAAGAGCGAAACGGGCAGAACCCGGACGCTGAGCAGACGCGCCCCAGTTCCCCTAGCGTAATAACGATCGACTGCGCAACTACCTTCGCATGCAGACTTTTGAGCGCTGCTTGAGTTGTTAAAGGAACCATTTTCTTGTTTAAAAGCGAGAATTTGATAGCCGCCGATGTGCCTCAAGTTTGGTTCAACACATTATAGACGTATCTGAATTGGTAACATCGAACAACATCAAAGCAATATTTTCAATGTGGTCTCAGAGGCTCGAAGGCTCTACTGACAACATGAAAAAACGTGACGTCAGGTTAGCTATTGGGGGGGCACCAGAGCTTGTTTCCGGTGGGTTAGAAGGAGTCTGGTGCTGTCGCATGAATGCTAAAAAAGAACACACCAACAAAAAAGAACAATTGTGCAAAATATTGAATTCTTTTTTTACTGCCTGCTAGAGTTGCAAGTTACAGAACATGTGACGTCACCCCAGTGGAGAATGTTGGTTTTGACATAACCTTTATTCGCCGTGTTCTCAATAGATTTCGAATTTAAAAATAATGAATAGAACGCATGAAAGAATAAACCCCGGGAAGTTCAAAAATGTGTTTAGTATGGGTATTAAAAAAAGAACCTTTAAGTCTGAGACGAAGATCGAGAAATGAATAAAAGATTCAACAAAAATTGTAACGTGGGAAATCCGTTTCAAGCCATTTTCGAGGAACTAAAAAACGAGCGTATTTATTTCACTCCAATCGCAAATAGGTTCTCGTCCGAAGCCTATTCACATTTTCAGTACTGCAAATCCCCACGTCTGGTTCATTTTTCAACGAATCATGGGGAACTATTCTTTTTCTAACTCAGATTCTTGGGCGCGCAGTTGGGGCCGCTTCTCTCACACATGCCTTCCGTTGCTGACGTACTATTACAGGTCTGTTTCTTCCTTTTATACGTCTACAGCGAGGTTCCCAACCCGGGTGAAGGATTTAAACTGGTCGCATAAATCAGTTGGGTAACGTGTCAAGCTACGATCTGCCACACAGGCGCCTGAATGTGGTGGAAGCATCGTATCAAAATTTCAAAGAACGAACTGAGTGTGGCGTTCGTCTGTTGGCCGGACGCCCCTTGACTCGCGCAACAACATGGTGAACTCAATTTCTGAAGCCTCTAATCTCGAGTTTATTTGCAGCGTCTTAACCTGAATTCGTATTGAAAGATAACAAGACACTAAATAAGCGAGCAAAGCCTACCATCAAAGTTTTGCCGGTAGACGAAAGACGTTGCTTCGGAGCGATTGCATATCTTACGTTCAAGTGGATTTAATCTCTAGGAACCGCAAAAGGCGGCATTAGACTCGTCAATATGTGTTGAAAGTGACCAATCGGAGGTATGTATTTCCTTTCCCATAAGACGTAATCGAGTCTGGTTACCTGGTAACGCCGGCGGGGTCTCGGGTCCATAGAGTTATGATAATGTACAGTACGCTAGAGGTTCAACCGGCGCTAGTGTCTATGCGACGTCCGGGAGGCAAATTGAAGCAGACAACAACCATTCTACTTTCGCGGTTCTCCTGTGCATTCCTATGGAAAAACGCGAGTGCATTTTCTATTTTTTGCCGGAAAACAACAGAAATTACACTTGTTATATCGGTCATACCGAATAGTATGTACTTTTTTTAAGTTGTAAAAGTGTAATTGCTTTCGTTATAACTTTTCTCTCACCAGTGACGGATGTTGATCTTGACTATATTCCAGACTTATCCCTATGTCCCAAAGCGGGTTCTCAAAGGCGTTGACACATCTAAACAAAACGGATAGCTGAAAGGAAGATAGAGCGTGTTCATGGTGCGCCAACGTCGAGTATCGCCGAAACCCGAACCGGGGTTTTGGCGTGTGGAATTGATTTTGTTGTTAGCGATGTAGTAAACAGTCAAGACTGCACTGCGAACGAGGAAGGCGTGGAAGCATGCCGAGAAGCTCGTAAGTAAAACACAACCTGGGCAGACGAAGAATTGGCGACTCACATTCACATCCCTATTTGCAATCCTGGGTGTCGAACTAATGCAACATATATCTTCGATGCCGGCGGTTCACTGCCTTGATCTGCGTACACGACACTCGGAAAGCCACGGCGCGCACAGGCAAGTAAACATCGTTATTTTTTTCTTTTCCTCGTGAACGAATTTTTGTATCAAATTACTTAGGCGTAACGCCGTGCAAAATTTGTGATGACGTTTAATGACACTCAGCGCAAATGAGAAACAGTGAATATGTATATACAGGGTGTTTGACGAAAGGTGGACGAATTCAATATTGCGTAAACTAAGCGTCGCAACAAAAAAAAAAGGCTTGTGTCGTTTTGGTTCTGGGCCGGGGGCCCATTTCGGACAATTAATAAAGTCCGGCATAATCAGATTGTCGATAATTTTTGCGTAGTTAACGTTTTTAATATTGTGTTTAAGGCCATGGTTTCAATTAGAAAATTGCTCAGCATCATCGAAAAACACTTAATCAACAAATTGCAGAACGATAGAAGGCACGCGAAGCATTTTACGGCTTGCTGAAAAACCGCACAAATTCAACGGGTGTTTAAGTTTCGGTTTGCAATCGGAGCGCATCTCGGCCCCGACGGCACCGCGCTCCGCGGAGAAATAGTGCAACCAGCCTCTGCTGCGCTGTCCTCGCGCAACGCAGCAGAGGGTGGTTGCACTATTTCTCCATGAGACGCGGTGCCGTCGGGGCGGAGCTGCGCTCCGATTGCAAACCGAAACTTAAAAACCCTTCGAATTTGTGCGGTTTTTCAGAATGCCGTAAAATGCTGCGCGTGCCTTCTATCGTTCTTCAATTTATTGCAGAGCGATAAAATTGCTCAGCATCATTAATTTCGATGATGCTGAGCAATTTCCTAATTGACACCATGCTATTATACACAATATTAAAAAATAACGGGAAATAATTCACGACTTAATTATCCCCAACTTTATTAATTTTTCTAAATAGGACCCTGGCCTTGGACCTAATCGACACAAGCGTTTTTTGGTGCAATGCGTAGTTTTCGCAATATTGAATTTGTCCACCTTTCGTGAAACACCCTGTATATATATTTACTCATTACAGACGCTGAAAAGGAAAACGGGCCGCGTAGAATACACACAAGGATCGCGTTACACCGCATGCTTTTGAAAGCATGCACAGCAACACCCCTGCGAAACACAATTGGAGAAACAAACTAGAAGATATATGCACATTTCGGCATATCACAGACGTTAAACATATAACATAAATAACAATCGCTGAAAGTGATACGACTTGCGAGATAC